CGGTCTTACTTTTTCTCTGACAGTAGAAGATAACACGCTGCTTGAGTTTAAAAAAAATACAACTGTAGCTACTACAACTCCTTTCCTACCGACGTGTGTGTAAAATAAGTCTGTGAACATCATCTATGCACTCACCTTGACCAATGTTACTAAGCTTCCTCTCAGGGCGGCCGCCATCGTTACAGGCATGCAGCTACTACAGCTTCTTCTTCTGTGGTGTGCAGCAGTAACTAAAGGACAATAGTGCCCCTAGGTGGACAGAATGGCTATGTATGGCAAGTAACAGGATGAGAAGTGCCTCCCACCTCCACTCAGGACTGTGTTGCTCAAGGACACTTAAGCAGACCAGATGGCACTGGCAGGTAGCCAGTATGAGGGCTTGAACACAGGTCCTCAGTTTATATGTCACAGTCATGACACATAGCCAGTGTGAAACATGTAGCTTGCTACATGTAGCCTGCTATCTTAGACTAAAACACAGCAAACAGAGCTCTGACACAGGAATGCAGCCAGGTGTTGTATATTTTGGGGCTCATTTGGGGGGCTTAGGAAACCTAGAAGATTTAATTTTAATTATTTACTCTATATGTGATAATTTAAACAAAAAGAAAGGTTTACAAGATGTAAAATGGACAATTATGATCCAACCTAGGATCCCGTCTGTGGAAAAATATAAAAACACAAAGTCCTTGTTACTTGTAGCATTCAGTACACCCGAGGGATAAAAATGCCTATTAGGCAATACAGGGTCATCTGTGGTTTCCGTTTCTTCATTGTGACAGCCTGTACTGTTCCCATCTCTTAGGGGAGGAACAACAAACAAACAAACAACACACAAACAGAGTCTCAAAATTCAAAACAACTCAGTAAAATTGTAATTAAAAAGTTGGGTAAGAGCCCTTCATCTTCTGCAGACACTAAGCCTTTGACCACCTTGAGGCAACAGGGATGAAGGGGTGAGCGCCCTTCGTCGACTGAAGACAATGAGCCTTTCACTGCCCACAGGGCACCCAGAACGACGAGAATAAGGGTGACACGTTGGTCACCTGCACAAAACAAATAGAGTGAGAGCCCTTTATCAACACAACACAACATGACACAGTACAACAGGCATCTGGCCAAATCTCTGGTCCACTGCAACGTCACGTCTTAAGCCTCCTTCAGAACCTGTTTATGACTTCCTTTAACTCCTCCAACACCTCAGGTTTTGCTTCTGCAGCCACAGTTGTTCTCATCTCCTGTGCAAAGCCCTGCCTCTGGTTCCTGAATATATTCTGCCTGTAGCTTCCTGCAGCTCATCCCAACCAGAGCAAAAGCTGCTGTCCTTTAAAACACAGCCCTCATCCATCTATCCATCCATCTATCCATTTTCATCCGCCGAGCAAAGCACCCCAGACATCCCTCTCCCCGGCAACGCTTTCCAGCTCTTCCTGGGGGACCCCAAGGCGTTCCCAGGCCAGACGAGATATGTAAACACAGCCCTCATCTCCACTGAAAAACAACTTTGGTAGAGAAAGGGCTGATTGAATCAGAGTGAGGCACTACAAGAGCTTCTGTTCCAGCACCAGCTGACCTGCAGCTGCTATATTTGAATTATATTCCTTTTTGGTTCATGCTTCATGCCAATGAAAAATAATTAACAAAAAATATTATAGTATTTTATTGTATTGATTTATACTTGTGAATGTATGTGGTATTAATCTTTTTCCATGTAAGCAGCTGCTAGTTTTGCTTTTTTGTCTCCAGAACTCTAACAAGGAAAGTTATTTAAATCTTTCATTTAAGTCAAAGTACCACAGTAAAAGTATTCATTATGCAGAATCGCCCTTTTTTAGAGTATGACAACATGATGTATAGTAAAAGTGACTTAATATTACAGGTGAATTAAAATGTAATCAGCATTTTATTGTTGTAGCTCATTATAACTTGTATACTGTTGGGTAATTTAATCAACAACAATGCATCATATTTTAAGTGTGTAGTGACCAAAGCTTTGATAAATTAAAAAAATGCACTAGCTTACTCTGAAATGTAGTTAAATGGACATATACAGTTTCATAAAATGAAAAACCTGAGGTATAACACCTTAAAATTGCACCAAAGTGTACTTAAATGTAGTGCATGTATTCAGTCCACCAGTGGTTAAGAGAAAGGAGAAGAAGACGAAAATAGTCTTTGTGAAGCTAATACTTTTCACTTCACATTGAATGGTTCAGGGGGCCCAGAGCCAGTCAGGGCCCCTCCAACATGTTCGGGATTACAGTTATTTGTTGTGTCAGAGCTGTTGTTGAGCTGAGCTCAGGTGGGCTTAAATGGTGCTCCTGTGTGAAACTGTAAGAACACACAGTTTCACACTCACTCATGAATCTTTTTCAATGTGTTAGCCATTGCTTGTAGAATTAGCTTTAACATTTTGTATTGTTGTCCCATGACATTTGCTGCTGTCATGGCTCCACCTTCTGGAATTGGTCTATCCTAAATAGGTTAGGGGATTCCCACACCTATTCCAGGCAAGTGATGCCGTCTGCTGACACACAGGATGATATCGGATTTTAAAATGTACATCATGGAACTGTAGATCAGCGGGCTATCCTCTGACACTTTAATAATCTGCCTTTACCTTGTTAGGCATTTCATTTGGTTATTCATGCTAGCATAATTTTTTGAGGCAAAGTGGGGCATCTAATAATTTGCGGAAATTTTGCCCTGAGGCATGGCTCTCAGGCAGACCCTCACCCTCTTCATTTAGCTCCTCTCATGTGCATTCAAGCCACAGAGCTAAGTATCCATTTTTCTTGAATATAGATTAATGACAATCTTAGAAATAACCAGAAGGTCTTCTATCAGCACTTAAAAGTGTGTACGATTTAGGGGGATATATTTGCAGGAATGGAATATCATAAAATAAGTATGTTTTCTTTAGTGTATAATCACCTGAAACTAAGAATTGTTGTGTTTTTCTTACCCTAGAATGAGCTGTTTATATGTACACAGGGAGCGGGTCCTCATCTACAGAGATCGCCATGTTGCATCACTGTGTTTCCACAGTTGCGGATAAACCAAACATCCAGCTGGCTCTACATAGGACCATTCATGAATTTGTGTCACCCACCATAGTTTGCAGCCCCTCCATAACAAGTTATCAGAGAAAAAAGGTGAGCATACATTGGCAGGTGCTGGGCTGTCTGTAATGTGCTAAACAGCATATTGTAACATGAAACTGCTTTACTCAGTGTTACTGGTTTTTATCACCTGGTCCTTTATTGGTGAGCAAGAACCCTCTGTAGATATTGGTCTCCTTGTAGAAACCTCCTGAACAATGAACACTGAAGGAATTCTAGCCTAGAGACGTTTTATCTGGTTGCAATCTGCAGTCCACTATCCATCTAAATCTTACACAATGTTCCTTTAAAGAACATAGATTGGCCTAACATGTACAGATACATAACCAACACATTCAAATAGGACTGTTGTGTAACTCAAAGTATTAACTGCACGGTATAAGTCTATGAACATCAGATAATCAAAGTAACCAAAGTATATTAGTATGCAATTCCTTAATTCTCTATAATGATATAGTTTTCAACTAGTCTAAATACTTAAACATCATAAGCAAATCCTGAAATTCAGTTAAGGCTTTTGGTTTTGGTGTGCCACCCCAAGATTTTCAATGACCCAATCTGGCCACCGTAAAAATTCCTGGGGGTGCCATTGGCTGTGTTGACCTTTGAACCTTTCTCCTGTACAGTAAGAATATTTTAAACCCCTTAAAGCTCAATGGTTGCCAGACATACATGTCCATGGTGGTCATGGTGGTGCATTGGGAACATAGTATTTTTCCCCCCCTCTCTCTCTCTCTCTCTCTCTCTTTCTCTCTTTCTCTGCTAAAACACTAAAAAAATGTTGAGAAGAATCTTTGTGAATTCTGGTAATGTTGTTAAGTTACTCTCCTGGTCCTTCAAGGGGAATCTGTAGGGAGGTGTAATTACGGATGCATAATGCATGAGGAAAAACAAAAATTTGCCCTGTTTTTCTGAGTGTTATCTCAGAATTCTGAGAAAGGTTTCCATGTAAAAAAAATCGACTTGTTTTTCTGAATCAATGAAATAATAATCGACTTAATTCTCATTTTTCTAAATTAACAAGATTGTTATCTCGTTAATCAAGGAAAAGAGTAGCCTAACACTATTTTTGGATAGTCCACCTACAGATCTTTAGATAGTATTTGTAACATTTCAGCATCTTTTTAGTCGAGATTCAACAACCTACGCATCATACATTGAGCCAACAGTTCAACTAAACTGTTTTGAGAACATGTAATGAAATGTCACTGGACTCTTTAGATAAACATCTACAGACAAAGCAAAATAGTTGAACTATTGAATCTTTTAGGTGGACTATCCAAACAAAGCATTGTCCAAGTAAACAACAGCAGAATTTCAACCCCTTGAAAACTTTTCTCAGAATTATGTGATGATAATCATGTTCATTCAGGAAAAACTGGGCAGATAATTTTTCTCGCAGAGGGGTGCAAGTGACATGTCCACTATTTAAAACATGTAACCCCCCACCCTGAATGAAAATGTGAAGCAGGGGACTTTAATTTTGAGAAATTTAAAGCCATTTACATCATAAAATGAAAAGAAAAGACAACATGCACAAACTGTTACATAAAACACTAGTTCATACATGTCCCCTCCACGCCACCTTACAATATTGAAAGGAAGCCTACGCCCTTGCTTCTATTAGGCTTTCGTGCGCTACTGTGTTTTCACATCTGGAATTTATCATTCAAACAAAAAAATAATGCTGAGTGAGCTGAATGTAATGTTTGCACATCATATGACAAGCACAAACTCGGGTCAACCTATCGCCCTGGAGCCTGACAGACCGTATTTAGGGATAAATGATCCCATATGTCACCGTGCCTGGCGAGTGGCTGACAGCCGCAGCGTAGTATCTGAGTTTACTATATATGGGCAAAGCCAGGCAGAAGGCGAGCTGCACTCGCTTCCGTGTTTGTGTGATCAGGGAGTGCTCAGCCGGGGGAGCTTCACTGGTTCATTCATTTCTCAACAATAACGCTAAGCAAGTGACCAGCAAGCAAGATGACCTATGACCCGAGTAAGTTTGTTTATTTTTAATAGCAACTGCGGAGAAAATGCAATTAAAGCTGTTATTTTGGGCGACATTATTCAGCAGGTCGAGCTAGTCAGCCAGGTAGCTCGCAGCTAGCTAGCCTCGCCCATTGCATGATTTTGACATCTCGCACGCGAGAGACAAAACCCCGGCATTGACAATGGTTCATTCACATTTAATACACACATGTGTTTGATAAGAACAGGAGTATATTGAATGTGTGTGTGTGTGTTAATGCAGCTCATTACAGCCGGTTCATTTAAGTTAGCGTTAGCCGGCTGAGCTAACAGCAGTCAGAGGAAATAGCTGTGCTCACATCGCATTGTTATGACATGTTGAGGCAGAGGCTGGCTGGCAGTCAGGAACCTCTGCTGGGGAAGTAGCTCTCAGAAACTTGGTATGTGGCTGCTCAAGAAAAGACTGTCGGCTGTCAGCTTTTATGTCGAGCCTGTGGAGATGATATTCAAGCTAAGAAAGCTGATTTTAGAGAAAATGCGGAAGCTCAATGAATGCACCAGCTTCTGTACAGCTTCCTTGTTAGTGTGAGATTTAATAGCCTCCAATTAGGGAGTGATCTTGACTTAACAGAGGAGGGTGGTGGCTGCAGTGTGACTTTGTTTGTTTATTTATTGTTATTTTGATCCTTCCTGAAGCTGCAAATATTTATCCTTGAGCCATCCTGAGTGACTGACAGAAAATGCATGATCCTCCCTCCACTATAAATTAGTTATTAGATTTTTTAAAACTCTTTCATGTTTGAAAGTTAAAAGTTAAAGATGAAGTTCTGGAGTTGGAAAAAAAGCCTCACTCTTGTCGTGCATGCTGGTTAGTTGGTGCAAAAAGATTTTAAATGAGATGTAGAATGAAGTGATTTTGATGAGATCACTATTTTAAGCTCAGATTTGGTGATGGAAGCTTTCATTGCACATGGTGCACCCAAGGATTGATGGCAATCTGAAAACTTTATGATAATTTATGTTTTTGCAGTTTATGTCTTAAATGAATAGTGTAATTTTGCAGGAAAACTTTTAAAGAAAACATGTCTTCCAAATATGTGGTTTGGAATGTGTGTTTTCTTTAATAATAGGCGGTAAAATAAATACAAAATACAACCATTTAAATCTGTATATCCCTCTTTAATGCCCCCCCAAAAACTGCCCAGTGCTTAAAAAACAATTTGACATGCCTTTTCCTTTTTGCACCACCCCTCCCCTTCATAAGGAACAAACAGTCCCTTACTGCTCCCAGTCTTTATGGTTAATGCAAAAAAAGTTTTTTTTTTGTGTGTGTGAATTTACATTCATGTATATAAAACTTAACCAAGATAATTAAAAGAGTAATGATGTATACTGTTTGATAATTTTTATGATCGTGGTTTCCCCTAGGTAGACGGCTTTGGGGTGGTTGTGGATGGGCTGCAGGGTGGGAGGGTGTATGCTAACCCCATTAATTACTAGGGGTGTAAATCACAACTTACATCACAAAATTATTATTATTATTATTATTATTATTATTATTATTGATTTAATTGACTCCTGTAACACACATATCACATGGCCACCCATCCAAGGCAGTGGTAGGGGAAACACTGTATTGTTATCATTATTATTATTATTATTATTATTATTATTATTATTATTATTATTAGAGGATAATATTGGTATTTGTGTGGCAGCTAAATCTTCTTCCAAACAGACCTGGCTGTTCAGTCAGTGTCTGGACGGAGGCCATATTTGACACATCAACTCCCCCAGAGTGATTAATGGAAAACTAAGCAATGCTAAATTAACTCTGCATACTCATATCTTATCTGAAAAGATATTTGTCCAGGCAGTGCAAGTTATAAGATTTCATGCTCTATTTACTCGTGTAGTCCAGATGTACAGTTTAATATCCTCTGTCTACATACAATCCCTTGTAATGTAGTTCAGTTTAATACTTCTCAGTGTACGCTTGTTTAAGTTGTATTAACCATAATGCGTTACATGATCTGTCTGCCTGACGTCTTTCTTGTCATATCTACTTTTTTCAGAGCATGTATTCGCCAGTCTCCCTCAGATGGAGAGGGGCGTTGCAAAAGTGATCGGAGGCGATCCCAAAGGGAACAACTTCTTGTACACCAATGGGAAGTGTGTCATCATCAGGAACATCAATGTAATGATCTTTTTCAAAGTCATATTTTACCAGTGTTGTAACCTTACTTTTTTATCTGTTTATGTATCCCAATTTGAGTCTTGTTTTGGCCATGATTTATATTATTCATGTTGGCATTTTACTCACTAATTACAGTTATTTGCTTTGATTGCACTGAATTCTGTGAGTGGAATTTTAAAGAGCAAGTTAACACCAACCTCAAAGAAATCTGTGTTTTGTGTGTCCATGACTGTGCTCTTGGTGCGCTCCAAAAATTCAGTCGGCACAGTGCCGGTTTGCACTGCTTGAAATGATTTACAGTCTCTGCCAACGCTTACAGGCTGTCTAAAGAATAAATTAAAGTTTGGCTGCAAAGATAGTTCAACTGGCTTCCTTTAAAAAGTGGTGTAGCATGTTTAGAACTTTTCACTTCCTTACCGTTAGCAATTTCTAATTCAGTAGTCAATCTCAACAAGAGCGTTACAGCAACATCTCTACTCTTTGCTGTCAGCTGATGGGGATCCCCCAGTGTCATACCTGCCACCTGCACTGCATTTAAGAGCTTTCCCCACTCATGCCGCCACATAACACATGGCACAATGCACAGACAGTTGGAGCGCAGCCTTTGTTGCACCTGTAACCCCACCTATGGGTGATGTCAGGGTGTATTGAACACTGCATACAGCAGTAAGATGAGAGCTTCAAACAGTCGCGGTCAGTAGAAATAAGATTTTCAGCTGGTATTCAGTTACTCTTTATGAGGAACCAGTTGTGCAAAACTGTAGTGGTAAAGATATGTTTTATCAATACACATTGATCCTGCCTATAAATCATTTAATACTTTAATACTTTTAATACTACACAGCATTGATACACCAGTACCAGCTGTGCTTTGTCACTTTCCTGTGTCCCTTTAAATCTCCTCAGTAGATCTAATGAGTAAAATGTTATCATAAGCAATAGGAACCATGGCCAAAACCCTGAAAAGGTTAAAAAATAAAACTTTGACTTCTGATCCTGATTTAGAAGGAAACCAGCTAATGTGCCGTGTGTCAGTCACAGATCTGCTGATGTCTCACATTTCCTGTCTCTTACAGAACCCAGCTATAGCAGACATTTACACCGAACATGCCCATACGGTAACTGTTGCTAAGTACGCCCCCAGTGGATTCTACATTGCATCTGGAGGTAAACAGCCCACCTATGAACACGTGTCAACAAATATGCGTGTATAGCTACCACAGTTATGTTGATGCTATAGTAAAATATTGTCTTAAACCCTTTAGATGTATCAGGAAAGATCCGTATCTGGGACACCACCCAGAAGGAGCACCTTCTCAAGTATGAGTACACCCCTATTTCAGGCAGGATCAAGGACATTGCATGGACAGAGGATAGCAAGAGGATTGCTGTCGTTGGGGACGGACGAGAGAAGTGCGTATGAGGGGTTTTCATACATGTTCAAGAAATGAATGGAGTTAGCGTCATTCCACTCAGACTAGCATGACCACAGGCATGTAGTGCAAGCAGAATTTGGGGTTATTGTGAAGATTACAGGCCAGTATTTACTTTTCACTCCAATGAATATGACTTTTTGCTGTCCCTAATCAACATTCCCAATAGTGATTCCCTTCATTCATGGTTCTGATGATGTTGCTCGTAATTAACAACCCTGCCCATTTCACATGAACGCGTTTGTGGTTGGGTAGGAAAAGTCAGAGTTGACTGAGCTAGTAGGTAACCAGCTTTGTGGTAGCGGTTATCCAGATGGCCAGTGTTAGTGTGAAGTGAAGCAAGATAACAAAAAGATATCCTGAGTAAGGTGAACTGGCTTTGTAGTACAGGCCTCGGGTTTCATGAGAAGCTTCTTCAGCTGTTACAGATCACTACTCTATTGTTTGCTTTAGATGTTCTTAAGATTAACATGCCAAGGTGGCATGTGGATTGGAATTATGATTATTATTAATTTTCGTGCTTGATGTCATGGTTTTGTATAAAATATAAGTGTTGTGCAGTTTTTGTGAATGCTATATAGTATACAACACTACCTGAGCTGTGAAGACACCTTAAACCCCCTAGCACATCACGTGCCTTACCAAATAGGTAGGGCAACTTGCTGTCAATACAATTACGGAAACAAAATTACAGCACAATTATTCTTGATATTATTGAATACATGCATTAAGTAATACTCTGTGTAAGCTTTGCTTTTTATGTCATCTTAGGAGACTTGAAGACTTGTATATGCGTTTCTGATTATTATAGACCAAATCACAATGTTTGTTTACAATCACTTGTGGTAATATAAAATTAAATGTCTCTACAGATGCTGCCATTAGTAGTTGTTTTTTTAGCCACTTAAAAAAGGCCCATCTAAAAAAATCTGTTTAATTCTGTGTTATATTTAGAATACTTTCATAGCTTTACTTGCTGTCAGACAGCCCCTCTGACAAGGAAGTGAAGCAGTTATTTTAAAGCAACCAGACTCCACTGACAAAAACATTTTACTTTGCCGAACACTGGAGTTGCTGTTCTACCATATATATCCTACCTATATTGATAATTCTTTAGGTGGGTCTTTTTAGATGGCTAAAATATGTATTGCTGTGGCCCCCATCCACAGCAGGACACTGCTTAGCTTCTGTGCTGGCTGATATGATTTATCAAAGATGCAAGCAAAGCAACGCAGTGCATAAAACAAGCACAGCAGAAACATCAGATTGGACCAAGGTGTTTAACTACAAAGCTTGAAACATCACTGTTATGGCTGAAAATTACAACAGAACTAAACAAGTCTGCCAATTTGTGTTCATCTCTTGCTGTAGGTTTGGAGCCGTGTTCCTGTGGGACTCTGGCTCCTCAGTGGGGGAGGTTGCCGGCCACTCCAAATTAATCAACAGTGTCGACATAAAGCAGACACGTCCTTACCGCCTGGCCACCGGCAGTGATGACACCACCGGCTGCTTCTCCGAGGGAGTCCCCTTCAAGTTCAAGTTCACATTAAATGTGAGTTGCAGAGATCAACATTTTGCTTCTTTTTTTTTTTTACCTGTATGCATGTTTCAACAAAGTAGTTGGAGCTAAGCTGATTTTGCTGGAAGTCTCAAGATCAACCAAAGGCTGAATGTCTTCTTCAACTTGCATTCCTAGTAGTATCAAAATAATGGCCTCCATTAAATACAGAGATAGTAGTAGATGTAACAGGTTTTCTGTGGCTTTGTACCAGATGTCTTAATTTGGTAGCAGTCGGCCCAATCTTAGTTTGGAGAAGCGGGCTGAAGTCTGACATGAAAGCTAAGCAATCTACAGCTGTGGAGGGGTCAGCAACAAAACATATTTAATCCAGCTTAAAAAGAAGTCCCACCAAAACAATCAATAGAAGTTTAAGTGAAAGCTATACTGAGAGTATTTTCACAGCTGTACCCTAATGTCAGAGAGTGTTTTCTAACAGGCTCCTCTCAAAGCCAGACTCCATTGAGAAAAACAATGATTTAACTTTACTGAACACAGGAGCTGCTGGGCTACCGCTGCCTCAGACTGTTATTTAATTTGGGTTGTTGTGTGACTTTGGTGTTTAAAAGGGTAAGCTCAGATTTACCAAAGTCACACAATAACGCAAACAGACTGATTGACTGATCGAAGCAAAGGTATTCCGAGCAGCTCCTGTGTTCAGTGAGACAAAATGACTGTTTTTCTTAATTGAGTCTGGTGGCTTTAACAAGAGAATATATGGGGAACTAGGAGCCATTATCAGCTTCCCTGTTGAAATGCGCTGTCTGACAGAAAGGTAAAGCAGTGAAAATACTCTTTTTCTAAGTGGCGAAAATATGTGTTGTCGCTAGCCCTTATCTACAGCAGTACATTGCTTAGCTTCTGTGTCGGACTTCATCCTGCTTCTCCAAACTGCAGGCTGGCTGACTGACACATACTGTAGGTAATACACTGACTGTGGATGAATACCCCATACAACTCCATTTCAAAAAATCCCAACTATCCCTTTAAGTCTGTCACACCCTGCTGGTTCGTGACAGTGTTGCCTTGTTTGCCTGTTTCCATATTACATAACTCACTTCCCCCATAAATTCTTGGAGAATGCGTGAGCTGCATTCAAAAAGCAGGCCGTCCTTCTACAAACATGCTGAGCACCAAATTCTGTCCTATACTTAAAATCCTTGTCTGCTTTTTGATTTGAGTCTGCAGTTGGTTTTATGTGCAAGTGTAGCACATTCTCTAACACTGACCACGGTCTTGGTAGTTGCATGTGAATTATGTCATGCAATACGTATGTAACCCCCAAAGGCTTTTATAACTAACGGCTTATTAACTATAAGGGCAGATTCAAAGTCTATATGGAATGCCACTGTACCAAATAAAATACTAATATTAACTGTATATTAAAGTGCACAGTCTTTCATTGTGGATAATTTTCCTCTATTTTTTTCTTCCCTGCTGTCTCCTCATTGACCGTTACAGCAACACACCCAGTTTGTCAACTGTGTTCGTTTCTCTCCAGATGGGCAGCGGTTTGTCACCGCTGGCGCCGATGGCCAGGTGAGTACTGGATTACTATGTGACCATTAGACATTTTTACCTTAGTCACTTACATTATTATTGGCAATCACTGTGATATTTACTGAAATAATACAAATAAAATCTATGGGTGCCTCAACCTGTGCCATGTTTATATATTACCCATTTTTGAAAATCAAACCAAAAAACCCTTTAAAATATAACTTTCCAGCACACTCATTTCATTTTTGGGGTGAAACTTTATTTTTAAAGGATTAAAATGTGTGAAATAAATATCATTTTTTCAAAATATTTTGATCTGCTTCTGTTGTTTTAACTTCTGAACTTGCCCTGTGCCAGAAAGTACCCTCGTCCCAGACTGGAATTCACATCTTCAAACAATTAAAAAATGTGTTAAAAGCCTCCACAATCTAAAACTAACAGTACATACGTATAACACTGGTGTAAAAATGTACTGCTATAATCATCTTTGTTTTAAAATACTTTTTTTTGTGCGTGTGTGTGAAAATGTTGGCCGTTTTAAAGCTGTGTCCCAGATTTTTGTCAGATTTCTTCAAAAACATAATTTAATCAGGCATATAAAGGGTTTAGCTGTATCCTAAGGACTCCTGTCTCCCTTCCTGGTTTTCAAAAAAGCAGGAATGCCAGTAGCAGTAAGCGTTCTACTTTTTGATAAATACATGTTGTAATATTGCTATCAGGTGTGTCTCAATATAACACGTCAACACTGTAGAGCTTCTAAATCCAAACTAAATAAGAGTTATTCTTTAAAAATTAGTATTTTGATTGGCATTAAGAGAGCTCTTAGCAACTTTGAAAAATAAAGTAGCTACAGACTACGACTGCTGTGATATTAATAAATCTATGACTTTTTGTCAACTCCATAAGTCATCCAAACTCTTTACATCGATCATGTATGCTATCGAAGAGAAAAATCAATCACTAGGACGTTGGCCCATTACTGGATTTAATAAGCACGACTTTGATCTTCTAAAATATATTTTCCCAGCCTAATTGAAGTGTAAAAATCAATCCCAGTTCTCAAGAATGAGTAATAGGAAGAAATAAAGTTGTTGACACAAGAAATGTCCCTCCTTTTCCTAATGAGTGTAATTTCCACAGATTTTCCTCTATGATGGAAAGGTTGGTGAGCATGTCGGCTCACTGGGTGGAGAGAAGGCCCACAAAGGAGGAATCTATGCTGTAAGTAGTTTTTTATGCAAAAAAAATACACTATATTGTGTATACTGGTTAGCCAGATGGGTTTTGTTTTTCAGGAATACCAGCTGTAGGCAGGGTTGGTATGGAGTCTGTCTAGAGTGTGTGCACTTAGAAAGTGCTTCTGTTCCTATTCAAATTAGGGATTATGTGTGCTTGTCCTGAAGTTACTGATTTGATATTTCCATTCATATCTTTGTTTTCTATATACAGTAGTGTTGGTCTTTTTGTTGTTAAGTGTGGATTCAGGGAACTTGAACATTTTTTACACACATTAATATTGTAACTGTTTCTTTTACTCCTTCCACTTGCTTTAAATCCCGAAGGTCTGCTGGAGCCCTGACAGCTCCCAGCTGATCTCTGCTTCAGGGGACAAGACCGTGAAGCTCTGGGATGTTAGTACAGGCACGGCCGTCACCACCTTCAACTTGGGCTCTGATACGACAGACATGCAGCTGGGCTGCCTGTGGCAGAAAGACCACCTCCTCAGCATCTCCCTGTCAGGATACATCAACTACCTGGACAAGAACAACCCTGACCGGCCCATACGCACCATCAAGGTCGCACTCTATTCCTGGATATTATCAATAGACTTCCTTGATATTGATAAAGCTTTGTGTTAAAGTTGATATTGCCTTTTTTAACTGGGTAAAACAGTGGGATAAAATAGCTAATTTTAAACGTTTGAGTTGCTGAAAACATGTTAATATTGAAGATAAATACCCGACTTTTGTAATATGTATTGGCATTTATTAAATATAAATTGGCATCTGCAAATTATACAGAGGTTTGGTGAGAGGGGCAGGTGGTGTAAATATACACTAGTAAGCTCCAGCTCCTTAAAATGTCAGCGTATAGTGGACTGATCTTTTTTCTTATGTGCTCTTATAAATATATTTAAAAACATGTTCTTGTTCATCCTACAGGGTCACAGCAAATCCATCCAGTGTTTGACAGTTCACAGAAAGGATGGGCGACCATACATCTACTCGGGGAGTCATGATGGACACATCAATATCCTTTCACTGATTAAATAGTGCCAATGATGATTTGTAAAAAGGTATTTATACTTTATGTAGATTATCTTTGATCATATAGAGATGCTCTGGCAGATGTAAATGGTTTGTAACTTTATATTTCTGGTAAAATGACATCATAACCCAGCTAACGAAAGATATTTTCCTGTTGGAGAGGTTTATTTTTTATGGTTTGCTCAATGAAATTTAAAAAAAAATCATTTAAAAAACGCCTTTTTTTTTTTATCAATTGCTATACTTTCATCAGAGTTGCATTGTGATTATAAGCAGCCTATCACAGCTAATTTAGCACAAATTAAAGCATTTTCCGTGAAACTGGAGGCCTCAAAGCCCAAATGAAGTTTCTGAAACAGTGCATTTTAATTTGCACATGCAATTAATTTAAGAGGGGAAGCAGAGTTGGGAAAACCTTCTATAATTGTTCAAGCAGTTTGGTTCTGATTTGGGCTGTTTAAGTGGAAATGTAACATTTACACACTTAAAAATAGGCTGTCCTAGTATTTTGAAGTCTAGATGAAACTGCATTTCGAGGGTGTCGAGCTCAGTTTCGTGACATATTTCCAAGTTAAACAGGATATACAGGTGGGATATAAATTTTGGAGGAATGTGATTTGATTGTGGAAAAGTGTGCTTGTCATAACAAATATGGAGAGGCCTGTACACCAGTGGGAGAGCAGTATCTGTCAGGAAGAGACATACAAAGCCCCTCATACACTCCATGTAGTTTCTGAAGCAGTCCACTGTAAATTGCCTTGTGCATAATCTGGAGCTGTGACTCATAACACTTTCCTCAATGTGAATAAATCCTTGCCAGGGAGCAACCATGGTAACCAGGGTATGTTTGGGGAACCAGAAAGGTTTGAGGTGGCAAACACCCTAAGACACACTGACGTGCCTTGCTGTGCTCTCTAGCCAACTTAATGCTCGCTCTGTGCAGCTAAAAGTTGCAGATTGATCGATGGGTGGATGTTGTGATATTATTCTTTGAAAATTTTTGGTACAAACTTACGTGAGCATCTGCCATATCTTGTTTTACAGGAAGAAATATGACTGGATTTTGATGTCGGAATATGGAGACATTTATTTTCTGTATTTTGTTTGGCAGTTATTAATTTAGCAGATATTTAATAGGTGCACAGTATGACGGGGTGTGATCTGAAAGGGTTAAAAAGGCATTTTTCATCTCATCTAGACTTAAATAAATAATTAAAGACTAAGAACTTGAACCACCAGAATTAAAAATAATTGAAAATGTAGTGGGTAGTAGCTTTATCCAAGTAGGGATTTTACTTATCATGATGCAAGTGTTGGTATTAAGCAACTCTTAACAGAAATTTGTGTGTAGTAAAGATCAAAGTTTTATATTTTGTTAAAATTCTAAAGACGATAGTTCAGATAGCCCCATGCTCACCTGTCGTATTAACCTACTGGCTCAGCTCCACAGTTTGTCGCTACTTTCATGTCAACACCAGATTTTTTTCCCTTAACAAAAGCCTCACATTACTGGGATGCAGAAACCGGGGAGAACGACTGCTTCTCAGGGAAGGGCCATAGCAACCAGGTGAGCAGGATGGTGACTGACGAAGGCGGCCAGCTGGTGACGTGCAGCATGGATGATACACTGCGCTACACCAACATCAGCAAGGGGGAGTACAGGTAGGGGTCATTGCATGTTGCTGTGCAACTCTGAGGTGAACTCAGTGGAGATGGTGATAATGTCCTGCATTTTGCCTGGTGACGACACTGACAGTCAGCCTGGGCAGGGCAGTCATCTGGAAGGAAGCAAATAAAATGCTGAGCTAAGCTTTGTTATGACTGTCGGTAAAGGTTATGTGTGGAGGTGCCTACGCTTAATTGTCTGTCACTTTAAAAATGGGTTATAGTGTTCCATGATATTGTTAATGTTATATAGAACGTTTATTTATACACATTTTTTTGACATGCACCAAAGCGAATGTTTAACAGGGTGTCTGTATGTCCTTAAAATGTCTTCAATTAAAATTTTCAAACATTAGGCCTTTAAATATCATTAAATAGCATCAATAAGAGTCCAATGTATTTTATCCCCTTAAGTCACAGATATCACTGGAATATCTGTCTTTTGTTATCTTGTACCTCAAACTGAATATTGGCTTTCGGAGTTCCATGATTTGTCCACCTCTAAATGTCACAGTGATCAGTTATCATATAAATGACCCTAATTTGTGTTTTTCAGTGCCAGCGATGTGGTGAAGATGGATTTCCAGCCTAAAACTGTGTCCGTAGCAGCAGGAGGGCTGTCATTGGCTGTGTGCATCGGGCAGGTAACGCCTGTGCTTTGTCATCATTGCCTAGCCTAGTTCTTAGCTCAGTGTTTCCCCTGTAAGCACATTTTTTTGCAGCTCTGAAGTTTTTTATTACCCATCTGATATTTTGTCTCATTTAGATGGCATCATTCATCTCTTGCTTTTGTAGGTTGTGTTGCTGAAGGACAAGAAGAAAGTCTTCACAATGGATGGTCTCGACTATGAAGCAGAGGTTGGAACTCTCCATCCCGGGGGCACCACTGCAGCAGTGGGGGGAGCAGTAAGTGGCAGTTACAATTTTACAACACAGAAAATCTCGCCAAGCATGAGTTTTGTTAACTTTGTTCTGTCTCAGAAAATGCTTGTGATTTCAGAGAGGAATTGGCATCAGTGTGTCTGTAATAATCATTCACTTGAAGTGATACCATCCCAACCTGATGACACCGGATTTGAGATTGATTTCCTTTTTCTCCTCCCTAGGATGGGAAAATCCGTCTGTACTCCATTCAGGGCAACACTCTGAAGGACGAGGGAAAGACCATCGAGGCTACAGGGGCGGCCACAGACATGGCCTACTCTAATGATGGAGCCTATCTGGCGGTCATAGGCGATAAGAAAGTTACCACCGTTTTTACTGTGGCTGATGACTACAAGGTAAACACTTGTCTGTCCTGTACGTATATCTATATATAGATCCGTTTTTGGAACACTCAGTATCCAATGCCTACAGCAGTTTTGTATAGATTATAGTCATTGTCTCTTTTTAACAAATATTATCCACTTATTTTCTCACCAGGTCAAAAATGTGTTTTATGGACACCACGCCAAACCAGTAACTTTGGCGTGGTCGCCTGACAATGAACACTTTGCGACCGGTGGGATGGACATGAATGTGTTTGTCTGGACAGTTTGTGACCCAGACAAGAGGGTTAAGATCCCAGGTAGGCCATACAAGTGTATTGCATTCTCTTATGTCTTGTTGCATGCAGGTATACACCAACATACTTAGAGGTTGCTCTGTTTGAGCTGAATAAATCCACTCTGCAACAATATCCAAACATGCCAAAACAAAGGCAACAGGATATTTTGAGCTGAGCTAAAAGATGTATGTAGAGCATGTAGCTTGGCTGAAAGTTAAAGTAAATCCTTGACTCCTTGACCAGCTTATTTGTCAGAAATAAAACACGAAACCAGCCAGTGTAATTGTTTACAGTGCAGCCAAACAAACTTGTGTTGTCTTGATAAAGAAGTCATTAAAAAATGATGGAAATGGCTTCATGCTGTACACATAGTTTTCCCCACAACTGCAAGGTGCCGTAAGGTTGAATACCTGCAATATTTAGGAGTGGACTGCTGTCAAAAAATGTAGATTACCTGTGACTGTTTCACAGTGAAGGCCACCCTGTGTTTTGATGGTTTTCATATAAAGCTGCGGTGGGAAATGTTCAGTCAGCTTTAGCAGTAACTTTATATGACTGAAGGAGACTCAACAGTACACAGTGAGGCTGATGTCAGGAAGATAAAATTTAAAAAATAGTGATGCAGGGTTATATGCATGTACCATTTCCTATGAACCCAGCATGGGAACACTGCACTCTACCACTAACAGTATAAAAACTAACATAGGAGAGGTAATTACGGAATATAAATGGTAATTGCATAAAAATGGTGACAATAAATGGTATCAGAATTATAACCTGAAGTCATAGCTCAGTGAAAGGCATATATATTGATTTTAAAAACGGCTATATCACTGTTGATTTTAATAGTTTTTGAATAGCTAGCATTAATGTTCCCATCATTTGATGACCTGCCAATTTGCAAGTGCTAATCAGTCAATCATCACTAATGCCAGCTATTGTTGCTACGTTACCTAAAGTTACACTGTTCTCTGCCTTGAGTCATCTTTGTAACAAGGCTGTTTTGATGCTCTGATGTCTGCAGATACTCACCGGTTGCACCATCCTAGCGGCCTGGCCTGGGTAGATGAGCACACTCTAGTCACCACCTCCCACGATGCAAGCGTCAAGCAGTGGACTATTGAATACTGAGCTGCGAGCAGACAAACATCCACATCTCCAGGGACAAGGACTACTGTAGATTTCAATCTTTCTTTTCTCTATTCTTTTTTTTTTTTGTTCTTTTTTTTTTTACTATCTATACGGTGTTCTATGCTGTCTGTAAACATCTGAATCGTAAATGGTTTTAACTGGGGAAAGCTCCCATACAATATTATCTAAGATATGTCTCTTTGATGCGAATAACCTCAACTTACACTGAGACAAATTATTGAATTATAAGATGTAACCATGAGTGCTTTTACATCTCTTTGAGCTTTATGGACCCACAATAATATTTGTTAGCTCAACATTCCATAGGTAATAGCTTTCGCTCAGTTTAAACTGGTATCCTTGTCTGGTTGGGCTCAATGCATCCTAACTCAACGGATGAACTCTTTTTTTTTTTTTTTTAAATCAACAAAATCATGTCTGAAAGAAATGAAACCTTTTGGTTACATTCCTGGAATGAGAAGTAACTGATGAGTTAAGTTAATTTTCAAGGTTTTAAGGGGCTGGGTTGTTTTGCTTTGTCTTTGGTTTCATACTTTTTATGTTTCACAACTCTTCCTGTTGAACTGGGGAGCAGTAATAGGAACTGAAAGAACAAAGTATGTATACAATCAAGATGCTGTCTGTTCAGTCGGAGATCCCGTGTTGTTGCTGTGTTTATGTTTGGGCCCACTATGCTTGTCGCACTTAATTTTTCCCATGTCTTTATGCATTCACTTCCAAGGTGGAATTGACTCATTAATAATAATAATAAAAAAACACTTTTTATGCAGCTCCCTTTCATACAGATTTGCACTCTTTTTGTCTTGTCAAACACATTTATGTGTTGATTTTGTCATGGGAATCTTCATCACAATTTCATGGCATTCAGGCATACAATATCAGCAGGGGGCCCTCTAGTGGGGTGTAAAGAGAGGAGCAGGCGAGAAAGCCGCCTTGCAGGATTTCCCTGTGACTCAAGTTAGTTGGCCAAGGTCTCAGGTTAATTATTAGTCCAGTGAAAACACAAAACGAAAGCTCATGACTTTGAACAAGTAATTATGTAATGCCCTTTTATTGACGTCATATAATTTATACTGGTATAAGTGTGCCAAATACTTTTAATGCAGTTATGAGTAGACAATAAATATTTACAGCAGACAAAGTATTTCTTTGATATTTTTTACAAAGTCCATGCATAATTGTTAATGGATTATTAAAACAGATGTGTTAAAGTCTTTGTGTTCAAGTAGGCAAAGCAAAAGGAAAGTCTTTGGTACTGTACTGACCATACTGACATGGCACAAGTTCTACTGGATGTATTGGACATTGCAATTTTTACTTAACATTCTCTAAGATTGGAGAGATGCACATGGCAGTTTCAGAAGTAAAGTGTTCCTCAGTCACAAAAAACTTGGTTATTCCTTCAAAAAGTTTGAGATTAGGGAGGAAACCACTAGGGAGTAGCACTAAATAATTCATGTTCCTCCCACAGGTCTGTAAATCTATCACATGATCATGCAGTCACGTTAATGCAATATGTATGTAATTTAATTTAGCTCAGACAATTTAGTATTTTATTAATTTAGTTAGTATTCATTTCGACTGTTCTATTGAATTTCAAATGTGAAACATTTCCTCTGTTACTTGTAATCTACAGGAAGAGACACATTTTACATGATTGATTTAAAGAAAATTCCTGATTTTATTTCATTTAAAAAAAAAATAATGCAAGATTACAATGATAATTAGCAAACAAAAGTATGATAAGGAGAATATCTCCAGTTTCTATGTGTTAAACACCTTGTTCTCTCTCTGGTAAGTTTTAATATATTACGGTATCTCCAGGGCTCTGGAAGTTTTCTCTCCAGTTAAGTACTGCAGTTTAAAATGTATTTTTAGCATAGGGTTTTCTCCTTGCTATAAATAGTGAAGCAGAAATGTTCTGTCTCCATCTCATTTTGTTAGTAGAATTATCACAGCTGGTTTTCCCGGGGCAGCCAAGGTTTGTGTCTGCCACTCGGCAGCCATTGGCTGCAGTCTTTCCAGATGTTCAACAGGATAACACACAGTCCCAGAAACAACAGCATACAATTTGCACCCATATGTTAAATAGCAATAAACCCAACAATAGAGAATGTAAGCTGCAATGTTTTGGTTTCAGTTAGTTTTAGTCCACCATATGTGCATATGTGACTGTACATGTTTCTGACCACAGGCTAGTGATGGCTTCCAGTCACAGGTGTGGTTGGTGTGCTGGGAGTCCACTGACTTTTGATGGTGAATGCTGGCACATTTTGTTAGTGTAATGATTTTTTGTTTGCGTAATCTTTTTGATAGGCAGGATACTTCAAACAGTGGTAGCTTTGCCTTTACCCACACTTGACTTTTTCAATAAATAGAAAGTTAAAGGAATACTTCAACCCCCAATGGTCATTTGTGTATTGGTTACTCATCCTGTGTTACATTGAAGAAAACTTTGTTTGACATGGCTCCAGTGAACAAAGAATCCAAAAATAGTAAAAATTCTTGATGAATCAGACTCTCAGGGGTCTGCGTTGAACGACATCCATATACAAACGCTCACACAACTCGTGCAGTATAATCCAAGTCTCTTTTATCCAGTCATGTGCTCAGTACTTCTCGAACAGACAGCTCTTTCTCATGGGGAACTGAGCTAAAACTTGAACTTATCTAGGCTGAGCTGGCTCAACAAAGCCTCAACCCTCAGTTAGCAATAACAGGTACCACAGTGTTCGACATAACCATGGCCCTGAACCACAGAAAGGTACGCTGTGGGCACCAGATATCGCAACTAAATTTTATCAAGCCTCTTCTGAGAATGAGACTGCATGTCTCACTGAGATTACGTGTCCAAATACAAGTTAAATCACCTAAAAAAAAAAAATCCCTATACTGTGATCCTTTGCTAGTGCAACGTTACATCTTTACATTTTTTGAAAACAGTAAACACTACACCTTGCCCCTTGCCAAGGCTCGAGACTAACATCATCTCATCGTCCCAATGACAATAGAAAATGTGTTTAGGATTAACAGAGATCTTCCTCAGGACGCCTCCAGGATGAAAGGGGTTTTGTATGTAGCTAATTTATCGTTTAGCAAATGATAATCTGAATCTACAACTTAAATGAAGCTGAATGGTGTTCACACTGGGAGAGCTAGTAGCTGTTAGCATGCAGTGGGCAGCAGAGTCCTGTGGTGTGTTGACTGATGGAGCTAACAGCTAACTAAGCTAAAAGACCTAACAGCTAACAGAGCTAACAGCTAAATGAGCTTATAGAGCTAACAGCTATGAAGCTAAACACAGCAGGACTGAGAGTTTCTGTTCAGAGGAACATGAAGAGTTAAACAGTGAACTGCAGTGTAATATGACAACACAAAATGTTTACTGTAAATAAAGATATGGATTTACAGACACTTCAGTGTGTTTACATTTGACCAAACTTCTGTCAGGGATGAAAGTAGCTAAGTAACCACATATATTTACTCCATTCTGTGCTAAAGTACTGGTACTTTGTTAACAGAAAGTGTAGCTATACCTATAGATTACAATGTGCTTTACATAACTAATAAGACAGTAGGAAGGAAACAGTAGCCTAGTTAACTCAGATATGACCTGCAGTATTTTAAAATCAACCCTGTATCTTTTAGTGTGACTTTTTTGTATTGGGCTAGCAAAATTATGTATTTATTTTGATTATGTTATTATGCCATTAACAACTTAAAAAGATAATGAAACAAAAGACTGTGAACTAACAGACTGTGAGAGAATATTAGAAATTCTTTCTGTTAGTGTCTTTTTCTATTTATTGAGGTGTCACAGTTCAGAAGGCTGCGTTTAGTTGTCAATTAGTTAAAATAAGGGCCATCAGACATGTACTTTGGCCACCAAATTTAGGGGCTTGGTGACCCTTGGGGCCAGTGCCCTAAAAATATCAGCATCAATCCCTGTACCACCAAGGTGATTATCAACTTGGTCTGTCAACCAATTTCTTCTCCAGGCTGTGCATGTTCCCTAGCCTGGTTCTAGACCATAGACCCCGCCCACTCACCTGAGTAGGCTTGCATGCAATGAATTTGCGATTTATCTCGTCCAGGTCCAAACGATGGACGGACCAATGAACGCCGGGGGTAGGGGCGGGTCTAGCGATTAGCCAATCAGCGCCACGCTGAAGTCAAGGTGTACGTCGGTGGGTAACTGGTGAGGATGGCAATAATGGCAACCGCTACAGATCCTACAGACCACATTAATGATGCTATCGAGGTATTTCGCAACTACTCGCGTTAATGGAGGACCAAATTAAGGAAGCTGCTACATTTTAAACAGGCGATGCTCGCTTGTTTTCGGCACCCCCGAGACATGGATATTAATGATGTCAGATTCTGGGTGAGTCGTTGATCTCTACTGATTGGTTAGGGAAAAAATCAAATTCCCTCCCCCTTGTAAATCGCCTTCAATGGAGGCAGTGTCAGACTGAAGGTTCTGGGAGCTTCAGTCTGACACTCAGGCTACATGTTCCCTGTTACCCCTGAAATTTGACTGATCACCTGCCACCTACTTCCACATTTGAAGGATATGAAGCAGAATCACAAGCAACACTGCTGAACATCCTCCTTCTGACTAATAGTACAGCCTGGTGTACTATTAATGTTTAATTTTTTAATTTAGAGTCGGTGTGAGCAGGTAGCGTATTCCTGCAGCTGAGAATCTCTATCACTCATAGACTAACTATTAACTATATAGTGACATTATTTATAATTTAAGCTGAAATTAAAAACAAAAACTGGTCCCAACCAGGTAAGCTGTGTGGCATAATTTACCATAGTGATGTAGTCAGGTTAAAAGAGAGCCACCTTCATGACACGGAATACACTGGCTTTAGGCAGAACATAACTCACTTACACACTAATCTCGCAATGCAAACAAACTAACTGAACCAGAAAGAGACCAAGACTATATTCTCAAGTCCAGTTTCTTTCCAGTCCTGCTGCTTTAGGGAAGAGGGGGGTGCATAGAATATCTGGGAACCTGCTAAATGAAAAATAGTCAGAGAGGCCATATTTCTCTCACAATGTTTGTGCACAGTTTGCTATTGCAAAGAAACTGATGAACCTTCACATATCATTCCTCCCCCTCCAGCACCATGACAGGTTAGTGTGTCAAACAATGATCTGCCCAATGGCTAACTGTGCAGCATATTGTAACTTAAAGCTTCAATGCTTTCATGAGAAGAAGCAATGAGTTGCCTGCAACAAACCATCATGTGTGTTGGAATGTAATAGCTTGGCTGGGTTTGCCAGAGCAACCTGAAGGACGGATAAAATGGTAAGTGGAACACACACACTCGTATACTGTAGGTCTTAAATGTGAATGGGTTTTAAGAGTAGCATTCAGCATCTGTGTTAGCTTTAGATGAAGTCTTACTATGAGATGGATAATGTGTCACTGATGTTAGAGGGAACTAAGAAAATGAACCCAGTTTGAGTATGACCACCGCCACACACTTCTACTGGGTCATTAGTGATGACTGAGAGGGATTACTTCTGTATGAGTCGATACATGCTCTATTAGGAAAATCCTGCTCACACTGTAACTTTAGCAGGCAAAATGCACCGAGTAGATGATTGACTACTGACAAAAGAAGGTCACTTCCTGTAGCAGCATTTTACACTGTGGCTCCAGCCAGTTTTGGTTCATGTCCAGCAGACACAGTAAATTAAGTTAGCCAGCTAGTTCTCATGTGATAATGCTGTTTTTTAATTATGTGCCTGCAGTTACTTTGGTTG